AAGAGATTAGCCATAAAATTCAAAAAGTAGGTCAAGGTGACCTACTTTTTTGTCAACATACTCCGAGGACCCAAGATACATCAACTGACAAAGTTTAATGATCATAGGCCTTAAATTGTTTAAAATATGCCTCTAAATCATTTTGAAAAAGAATGGCCGCAAAATTTAAAAAGAAGGTCATCGTGACCTACTTTTGAGTCAACATGATATGAGGTCCTCAGATGCATCAATTGACAAGATTTGATGATCCACGTCCGTATAGTAAGCAAAATATCAACATTTTAATATAATGTAATTTTTGGTCAACTTTGAAGTGACCTTGAGACCATGCCCTTTGCCCCAGGGTGATTCCCCGTGCAAATTTTAATTAACTACATATTCTCATCCTTTTGTGTAAGTTTGGTAATAATCTGCCCAGTGGTTCTTGAGAAGAAGATTTTTTAGCAATCAGTACTTTTGTTTCTATTTTCCTAATTATCTCCCCTTGTTTAAGGGTCACAACCCTAGTTTTAGTAAAAATGGGAGCTGTTGGGCCAAGGATACCCTGTAACAAATTTGACAATAATTGGCAAAGGGGTTCTTGAGTTATGGCCCATATTCTATAAAGTTTACGCACACCGCACAAATGGCCATAGCATTAGCTCTTTGAGCCTTTGGCTCAGAAGAGCTAAAAATGGAAACCTCCACCGATTATTCTACTTTTCAGTTAATGCTGTGTTTTTCTTGTCGAATACATAACCTTTATAACAATAAGTCTGCAGATTTCCCATCCCTCATGTGAGAAATAGTGCAAAATTCTATATTTCCTCTATGATATGATTTTTAAAACATTTGTTACTATAAATAGAAATGGAAACCTCCACTGAATGTACTGTATTTCAGTTAATGCTGTCCTGCTCTTGTCAGTAGCCTTATGTCAACAACAGTAAATAACAGTTAGTCTGCAAATTGTCCATCCCTAATGTGAGAAACAGTGCAAAATTCTACATTTCTTTAATAATTTGCAGTATGTCTATTTTTAAACATTTGTTACTATAAATAGAAATGGAAACCTCCGCTTATTATTCTGCATTTCAGTTAATGCTTTCTTGTACTTGTTGTTCCCCTTATGTTATTAAAAGTTAATTCAATAGCAGTTTGTCTGCAAATTGTCCATCCCCAATGTGAGAAAATAGTGCAAAATTCTACATTTTCTTGATAATTTGCAGAATGTCTATTTTTAAACAATTGTTACTATAAATAGAAATGGAAACCTCCGCTTATTATTCTACATTTCAGTTAATGCTCTCCTGTACTTGTCAGTCACATTATGTCAGTTACAGTTAATGACAGTGAGTATGCAAATTGTTCATCTCTAATGTGAGAAATAGTGCAAAAATCTACATTTCGTCATTAATTTCCCATGTGTCTATTTTTAGACATTTGTACTATTTATAGAAATGAGAGCCTATCCTCAATAATGTGTGAGTTATTGTATTATCCCTTCTTCTAATTGATGAAATATTGGTGAGAGCAGTATGTTTATCACTTATGTTTTAGTGGAGCTTCTAAATGATAGAAAATAGTCATTTTTACACATATTATGAGACATGTCTATTTTACGGCATTTGAAGCTATAAATAGAAAACGGAACTCCCTTCAAATAATATGCATAGTAGTTATTGGTGTCCAGTTTCTGTCATTAACATATTGACTTTTACAGTATATTTCTTAAATACCTAACAATGGCATCTTAAACTCTGCCCAAAATTGATTTTTTAGATTTTTCTGAAATATGTCTATTTATAGATACATGTTACTAAAAATAGTATTGAGATCCCACTCCAATTTTTTCATGAGGTGACACTCTTAATTCTGAAGTATGAAAACACACATAAGATTTGAAAATTTTCCATAGACAATTTTTTTTATTTAACCTTAAAGTTCTCAAAAAATACCAAATTTCCCATTTTACACATTTTCAGAAACTAGGTCATTTTACAGGACCTTTTTCTTAGAGTGGGAATAATTCTGGAATAACCGATTATATGCCCTGTATACCTTAAAAGTTGATGTTTTCTTATGATACAATGATTTATGTTTGAGTTTACTACAGAAAGATAAAAATGCATTTACATTTCCTCAATTTTCATGTTTTTATTTGGTCAAAAAGGGCCAAACATGGCCAAATTCAATGGATCCGTCTCCATGGCAACCGGGTGCACGTGTGAAACTTCTAACACCATATTTACTAGTTTTGTGCCAAGCTGCACCTGTGATGCAAATTTCATCAAAATCGGAGAGATGTCGTTTCCAAGATTTTTTGGTGCTTACAGAGAATGCATGTTAAAATAAAAATTGCTGCATGAAAACATTTCATTTTCAAGTTTCATCTTTGCCGTCGCCAACGTGGCACGGTGATTAGAGTGTCTGCTCTAAGAGACGCGGAATAAGGAGTCAATCTTACGTCACGGGTTCGAATCCGACAGTGGGACGTTGAGACCGGTCCTTCGTAAGAGACCGCATAAAGCCATAAACCGAGGACCCGTTCCACAGTAGGTGTTGGCACGAAAAAAATCCCTCACTGCTCAATGGCCGTAAGTGTCCAGTATAGGACAAAATTTGCAGCTCTCCACTGGCAAATTGTGGCGTCTCCATATGAGTGAAAAATTCTCGAGAGGGACGTTAAACAGCAAACAAACAACCAAATTAAAATCATTTTAGCCTTTTTGAATAAAATGATAAAATTAAGAGTTATCCTTCAAGGCTGAGGATCGGATATCCTTAAACCAAGCAACTTACGCGTGATTAAAGTTTGACACAAGGCTTTGCATTAATAGTCCTATAATTACATGTATATGTGATAATTTTTTAATTAATTTATATTTTATCAAATGGCATGTAGATAATGAATAAGTATTTCGGATTTTTTTATGTTTAACTTCCTGGAGATCAAATCCGATTTTAATGAACCATTGGCATCGGAAGGAAATTGATAGTGGGGTGGCTAATTGAAATAGAAAAAAAAATCAAACCTGAAAAAAAACTTGACAAGCAAAAAAAAAAAAAAAAGGAAAATTGTTCTTTCTCCAAACCCGAAAATCCTATTTCGGGGGTGTGGGTGGGTGGGGGGGGGGGGGTTAGTCGAACATCTCTTAGTACCAAATTCTCTTACACACTACCAATTACCCTTCTTTCACTACAATTAATCGTGCCTGTAGAAAGTGGGGAGGGGGGGGGGCTAGACCTACGTCCAAATTTTCAATGCCTATATTACGTCTACCTTTGTAAAAAAAAAGGGGGGGGGGGGGAATAGCCCCCCCGGTTCCGACGCCTATGTGAACCAGTTTTTCTTAAACGTGTCATTTCACTCAAAAAATGCCTTTCAAAGAATGAATAATTTTTAACATCAGAATAATTTAAAAGTTTATTAGCTTTCTGTCAAATATGGCAAAAAAAAAAAAAAAAAAAAAAAACAAAAAAAAAAAAAACAAAAAAAAAAAAAACAAAAAAAAAAAAAACAAAAAACAACAAACAAAACACGTAAAATGTCTACTTGATTGCCTACCCGATTTACCAACCTCACGGGCGGATTCAGAAAGGGCCTATGCCCCCCCCCCCCCCCCCTTGTGTCCAAAATATACATAAGATTTAATAAATCAATTGTTTTTTGGTTTGGCTGTGGGCTACCTACCCCGACCAAAAACTTGTCGGGCCCCCCTTTTCAAGATTCCTGGATCCACCACTGAACTTGGAAATCAACAATCGCCAAGAAAATCTAAATTACTAAGTATTTTAAAATTAAATGCAATTTTTACAGCGAATACACATTAACCTATAAAAATGAGTCTTAAAATTTCAGCACAGTTGATAAAATCAGGAAGCTGTATAATAGAATCAGAAATTAGAAAAATCTCGAATAGTCCCGGCTTTTAATTTGCCACGGCCCGGGTTTCCTATTTTCAAACACTCTTTAAACTGGCGCATTTTTTTAAATAAAAGGACCAGTTTAGATGATGATAAAGAAGTTACCACTGCATAACATGAAACGTCTAATGCATATAAAGATTTGAGCACATCATATAACAAATTAACAACATCATATAATTAATTAACCACCTTATATAAAGATTTTACTACTGTAAAGCATGATTTAAGGAATATATATAATAATTTTACTATATAATATAATGATCTTAGTACTGCACATAATAGATTTTTCACTTCATGTAAAGGTGTCGCACTGAATGAAATTAACTTGGCACTCCACATGCAGCGGGTTTCATACAATGTAATGATTGCTTTATCACACAAATTATGTTCGTACTGTATATATTGAATTCATCACATCACAGAAAGATATTAGTAATGTATAAAATGGAAAAACCACTGCATATAATGATTTTACAGCATAATGCATCGATATTATCAATTCATTACATTATTTAACCACTACATATAATGACATTGCCACTGAATATAATGATAAAACCACTGCATACAATAAAGTTATCAATGAAAATTATGATTTTATCACTGTATATAAAGATAAAACCACTGCATATAATAAAGTTTTCAATGAATATAATGATTTTATCACTGTATATAATGATAAAACCACTGCATATAATAAAGTTTTCATTGAATATAATGATTTTACCACTATATATAATGACTTCACCACTTCACATAAAGGTTATTCCACCTCATATAATATGAAAATGACCTTCAGGCAGCTATGGCGTTCCATATTTATGAGGACTTTTATCACCATGCTAAGGACTCAATTTCGCTTCTCCTCACCAAATCGATATTGCAGCAGAGGTAAAATGCAAAATACGTAAAGACTAACCAATCACCGCAATGGACGCTATAATATTTATACTTGTCATCTGAAATATCAATTGTTAGATTCTTAAAGGAACGCAGTAAAAATGAGCAGCATTAGATCCATCTGTTTTATGGCTCTCTTCTTAAAGGTGATCCAATCTAACGTTATTTCCTTGCGTTTTACCAGAAAGATGAGTTTCGATAATAAAAAGTCCGATAAGGAACTTTCTCTAGAACACAAAGCCCAATCTTTGACTGGTTGTTCTGTCATGTGTCAGAAGGATTGTGCCTTCTTTGGATTTCATCCTATTTTGATGATGTGTCGTGTCCACCAGAAGATCACTTCCGATTCCGAAATGTCTGACGAGCCCGGATGGAAATACTATTTTAACTGTAAGTTTTTTTTTTACACCTCTCTCTCTCTCTCTCTCTTTCTCTCTCTCTCTCTCTCTTACACACACACGCACAAAAAGTAGTATATTTATTATTATTTCAATTGTAGAGCGCCGATATCTGTAATATGTATTCTGCATAAATATATTGCGTATGAAGTTAAAGACCGTGGAAACTGAGTTATTTGATTTTTTATAAATTCCAAAAGTGATTGACTCCAATGGAAAAGGGCCCTAATGATCAAGTTTTATGCATTATGATATTTTCATGGATTTTAATAGAAACCGAGTTAAAAGCTGCCAAATCTGACTTTTAATGATCCTATTTCAACTCTAACAAGGTTTTTTTCTTCTTCATTTATATCAATGGTACTTAAACAAGTTAAAAAATGAAGTCACGTCATTTCATTTTCCACAAACGTCAAACATTTTTTAGAGTGTAATAAGTATTATTAATCAAAGGTGTATAGACTATGAGTTCTTTTTATTTCGTTTGTTTGTTTGTTTTCATTTCTCTATAGTGGTACCCAAGGAAGACCTGAGAAGTGAGAGACTTCTGCTACGTGTTCAATTTAAGTCTATTTTAATTTCATTTAAATCATTGCTCTGGATTGGTCAACTTGTCATTTTTTTTTTTTTTTTTTTTTTTTGAATACAGTAAAAAAGGATATATCTTACAAACGAGATCATTTAAAAAAAACCCAGCGGGAACAACAATAACCTTGATACTACCAGGTTGTATATATATATATATATATATATATATATATATATATATATATATATATATATATATATATATATATATATATATATATATATATATATATTCTTTTTCTAAATATAAAGATAGAGAAATTCTGAATGTAATTAATAACAGTTTACAATAATTTAAGGATATTAAGATAATACACTGAATGCAAATCAGTAAAAAAAATTCAGAAGGACTTCTATCTACTTTATAATCATTAGTTCTTGTTAATCATTGAGAAACATGGCATAGTAGAATAGCAGTTTGGGTTTATTTTGTAAAACTAAGTAGACACCTGGTATTCATAGATAACGGGTATTTTTATTATCATTTCAACCAATCTAAACCGAGTTTCGATTGAAACCAATCTGTCGGTTTTTTTTTGTTTTTTTTTTTACTTTCTTTTTTCTTTAATATCAAACAATTTTTTAAATAAATATCTAAATAAAGAAGAAAACATGAGTAGTATTATGTTTTTTATGAATCACACAGTTTACTTTACAGACGGTTTATTTTCATTTTACGATTAAATACATTAGGAATGTCTTCATATACAGTCAGTTAAATGTGACTAGTTCTTTGTATTTCCTCGCTGGCTGAGTTCTGAAATAACAGAATTTCGCGAGGTGGTAGACGTAATATTGTTCTGTGATTGTTTCCCGATCCCTCCACTTCTTCCCGCGGTTTCTTTATCGATCGAAATCGTAGTTAGCTTCTATTCTCAGACTGATAAATAAATAATACTAAAGTTATGAACAAAAGAAACATTGCTGCCCTAAAAATTTTGCCATTTGGTACTTAACAAATATGAATGAATCAAATGCTAAACACCAGATTAAAGATTATGTGTCTAAAGACACGTCACAAGGTCCAGAAATTTATTGTTGACGTCATTGAAGAATTTCCAATACAAACATAGATCTTCGAATTGGCTGGGGATAAAAACAATTAATCTTTGTTATTACGAAATAATACATAGCGAAATTATATCCACAATAAACCCCAAATTTAAGATAATATTTTTTTGTCTTGTATAACATGAAATGTGAAGAAAACGGATACTTATGAAGCACAGATGCCCGTTTAAACAGTGCAATTTGAGATCAGAAGAAAGACAGTCCTCTCTAAAACAGAGGTATGATTAGGTTCTATGGAGAAAGAAGCATCCCCTGTCAAGTCGTCACATCCGTCATGACCTTTTTGTTTTGATCTTGTTCAGGGATTAAGAATGGCAACGTCATTGAAAGTTTTGGAGCACCGAACTATAATTATAGATTATTATTATAGTATTATTATAGTATAAAAGAATTGGTCTGACAATTTTGAAATATTTCAGTCAACTTTCGGCCTAACAAGTGTTTTAAGTGCCAAACAGTCATTGTAACGATCATATATTTGTTTCTACTTTATCACACTTATCAATTATAAATAGACTTATTGTAAAAATACCACGGGTATTCTTGATGCCTGTATACATTACTATATTTGTTTTATATTTTTGTATCGGGCCATCCTTTAAAAAATGTTTGTTTGGCCTCTCTCAAATCGGGGTAAACTTTTTTCGTCGATAAATAAGTGGAATTTTTTTTCCTAGAAAATTTCAACATACATAATGACGGGATAAATGTAAGGGATAAAAAATCGTTTCCTGGAGGTTAAAAAAGTTTTGAGTCGGGTGATTTTTAGCCAGTCGGACAAGAGAGGGCAAACAAACATTTTTCTTTTGAAAGATGGCATTGTATGTGTAACAGAGACATTTATGTGCCTCTGCTGGGGATTGAACCCGGGGCCTCTGGCATGCCAGTCCAGTGCTTTTTTTTTTTTTTTTTTTTTTTTTTTTTTAATCTTTTTAGTCCAGTGCTCTACCAATTGAGCTAAAGGGTTAACCCACTAGCCCAAGCTAGTAGGAAGCCGTGTATCTGACACTACCACATATGTATCATGACATCGTTATGAAAGACCAAAATTTCTCAAAATGTGATTTTTCTCAATTACAGCTATTCCTTTAGACTGTAAAGATCTTTTTAAAGATGGTCATACTGATTCAGGGGTGTACAACATTTATCCTTATGGTACTATGACCAGCCCCGTCAGAGTTTACTGTCATATGGAAACAATGGACGGAGGATGGACGGTATTATCTATTTTTTTCATTTCAAAATTTTTGTAAGAAACTGAAGATAGCGAACAGCAATCAACCTCAAAGGTCTATTGAAACAATACAAATGGGGAGCGGAGCCAACAGACACCTCTAAAACATCAGAGGTCGGATCAAGTGCCATGGAGGAGTACTGGCCACCACCGCCTTGTGCTACTTGTCATGATCGGGTAAAGAAAAATAAATTTGTAGACTGTTCAGCGTTGAAATTATGACGTTAAGTCAGTCAGCATTTGACTTAACGATAGTATATGAAAATTATTATGTTATTCTGTTGACAAAGAAATGCTTAGTTATATTTACAGTACTTTCTTTCGTTTGTAAGGGATTTATTGTACAGAGAGGCGTGGCAGTCGAGTCGCGCAGCGACGAGACTGTCACGCCTCTCTGTACAATAAATCCCTTACAAGCGAAAGAAAGTGTCTGTAAATGTCTTGTGTCATGGTCATTTGCATAGTCACTCCTTCAGCACCAAATTGCACGCGACATTACGTCATAGGCCTAGGTCCATCGTAAGTGAACAGGCCCGGTGTTCAAACAAAGCAGAAAGTACGAAGGAGATGGTTGCATTGAAAAATCAAGCAATGTTAAACGAGTGTGAAATTGTATTTGATGGATTAATTTAAGCAGTATGAGTATTTCAAAAACCATAACAAATACAGGCACAATACTGGAAACCTGGATCCGCCCGCACTTTGACCCGCTACATTATTGTTACTAGGGATACGCTTGCATGTCCCGAGGAAATCCGAGTCAAGTACTGTAGCCACAGGTATCAAAATTATGGAATGTAGTGTGAAATAGTCCAGATACAATTACATACGAACATGTATCAGTTTGCATGTAACTCAAAGAACTCAGAAAACAGTTGAAATTAGCCTAAGGGAATCATCGAACTGCGCGTTTTCAATATTGTTAGATTTCAGTTATCTGTTTTAATTTGAATACATGTATTTCAAGAAAGTCTGTGTATTTTTAAAATATTTGTTTAAATTAGTTAACTAATGAGTTTACATGTAATCCTCATGAAAATGGTTTTCACGTATGCATTTTTAGATCGAAAGGGGGGGAGTGAATTTTGTGAGGTTTCTCATTTTCAGATCGAAAGGGGGGGGGGGTGAATTTTGTGAGGTTTCTTATTTTTCCTCTGGATAGGTTGTATATGCTTACAGAAATTGAAGAAAAAAATTTCAAAAGTATTGAGTTCCTTTGGAAGTTATTGTACAGTACATTGGAAGTTATTGTACGGCTAAGCTCCGCCCCCTAGAAGTTATAGTACGTTGGAATTCAGCCAAAGGTTTTCTATCTGATTTAAAGTATGGCTAACATCAAAAGAAAAAGTACCGCACCATGACACAATATATTTTACAAAAAAATCGTGCAAATGTTCGTATCAAAACACATTCGAATGATATTTTTGTTTATATTTCCAAGGCAATTCAAAAACGAATTGATGGATCCCTGAGCTTCGAAAGGAATTGGATAGACTATAAGAATGGTTTTGGAACACCGGAACAGGAAGTCTGGATCGGTAAATATAAATCTTCCATCTGCTAAAAATCAGTTCTGAGAGCAAATCATAGATCTGATTTTAGGACTTAGTAATATGTGTTCTACTTCATTCATATACTGTTTGGCTATTAATTCTTAGACGAAAAGACAATAGGCACAAGTAGAAAAATATCAGATTAGTAAACTGTATATACAACAATTAACAAACACTCTAGTACATTAAAAGTATTAAAATATAGAGTTTTACAGCGTTATTTTATTATTTGTATAAATTTAATATTAGCTCACTTTATTACATCATTATAATGAATTCTTAACGAATCTACCTTTAAACAGGAAATGACATAATCCATCAGCTTACTAAGGGAGGATATTCAACCCTCTATGTTTCCATTACGTTAGCGAATGGTAGCCGATTGTATGAGCTGTACGATCGATTCTCTGTGTCTAACGAAACCGAGAAGTATCAACTTCTTCTGGAGGGACCTGCCACAGGAACCTTAGGTATGAGAAAGGAATCTTAAATGACATCAATGCATGTGATTTATTATATACTTCATTAAGTATATTAATGAACGATTGGCTAGGAATAATTGACATAATTTTATTATCATCCTTTCAGGTAAGTTAGATTTATGTAGTACAGAGCCAAAAAAATGGACCCCCCCCCCCCCAACATACCAGGGCATGATTCTTCGATAAACGTTTGGTAAAAACATTATTACACTCAGAATCATGAATCTTGAAGTCCTTTTGGCTGTTGAACGTAGATCTAGTTATAGACCGATGTTCAACACATCTTTCCGACATGTGGCATCCATGAAGACCGTACTAAATGTATGCGCGGACGGTTCAGTATTGTTTGCATCGGTATAAAACCGCCAGTAGACAAAAAAATCTCAGTCTTAGTATTTCATGTAGAAGAGGGAAAACTTAGAGAAATTTTCGGATCTCAGTTCTTTGGCTGACAATGTTTTCTTAGAATAAAAAAATTCTATGAAACCTTCATGTACACTTAAGGAGGCTGGGTGGTCAACAAATTAACCATCAGATATAACTTATTTTTTTGGATATGATATCTTAAGCTGTCAACTATCATTTGGCAAAGAAAAAAATCATACATTTTAGTTCCAAAATTTGATCAATTTTTTTATATCTTTATATGGAGCTCTTCTTCTGAAGGAGATCAATATAGTCTAAAAATGGCCACGACCACCCAGCCCTCTTAATCACTATCTTATATGTCCCTCAGTATTGGAAACCTCTAGTAATATACTTGGCAATGAGTAACACAATGTTAATGCTAAATCTTTGTAATTTATGCGCCTACGGTCTCAACTCGTCAGTTGTACTTTTGAAAATAAGATTCTTAAAGTTTATGTCCACTTTTTTTTTCAAAAATGGATAAAATGATATTGAAAGATAAGGTCTTTCAAAGTATCAGACAAGCAATGAACAGGATAAGCAGTCGGTGATTTTTTTTTTTTTTTTTTAATCTTTCGTTTTGATTTAAAAAATGTAACAGAAAGCCTTTCTACATGAGAACTGAATCAATATACGGTTTTGGGAAAATGATTTATAAATTCCTCATAGTCAGCGCGTCAGGAAAATGCAGCTAACAAACAGCCGCCAAGGAAAATGGGTATTGCGAATAAGAAAATAGTTCCTCATTAAAGTTACTTTGATTATAATTCTGGACAATAGTCAACAATCGCTCTGTGGTCAACTTTGTTCTGTCTTTTATTTTCGCATTCGCATTTTGTATTTTCACTTCAATATTCATGCCGATTCCGATATGTGCTTTTACATCCTGCATGTATTCTAATTTTAAGACGGGAAAATTGCTCCTCTCCTAAAATAGCTTAGATGCGTCATATCTTCAGTATTTAGAGAAAAGCAGATGGTAATTTGATTATATGACAGTGCATAAGCACTTATAAGTGCAGTATACTTAGACAATATAGTAGTTCAATAACAATAATTAATAATAACAGTGATTAATAATCAGATATACATTAAAATACATGATGGAATACAGAGAACCCAACGGCAACGTCTAGCTGTTATGTTTACGAATATGTGTGCGTTTGATTGTTAATAACAGCGGGTATTCTCTAACATGTATAAAATTCTAAATCCACAGCTAAGATCTCCCCAGTGCATCAGAAGAGCATAGCCATGGACAAACTTAACTTCTCATTAAGCAATATTTTAGTTTTGTTCCCATAATGATAATAAGTGAAAGCATTTACAGGATTATTTTTTTAAGGAGTGTAATTCACGAAGCTTGCTAATTACTTGCTTCTTTTTTTTTTTTTTTTTTTTTTTTTCCAGGAAAGTTGTACATGTAATAATTAGTTGACTGTAGAAAAAGCAGGATTCAGATTACATCCATATATTTGCAAACTGGGGACACATTGAGTATTTTGGGGGTGTTGTTGGGTGTTGAGTTAGCACATTTCCCTCTGGCTCCAAACCGTTTTATTTGTCCACGTTTTCGGAAAAAAAGACCCGATTGATTGTTTTGTGGTTTAAATATCATCTCGCTGCAATCTTAATTAGATTTTAGAAAAAATCAGTCCAAAAACATTTAAAAAAGAATTATGCCAGGCAATGACTTAATTATTTTGTCACAAACAAACGAAGAATATTTTTGAATACACAGTTACATAGTGTGTATGCATAGATACAAGTACATATGCATAACATTTTGCTCCTCAATATCTCCTTTCCTCAAAATCCACTTTATTAAAATGCGATAAAACATTTCTTTAAACCAGGAAAAATCATTTCACTGAATCTACACCTTAACTACTATTCACTCTTTAGACCATGCTATTAAACCTATTTTATTGTACGCATTTGCAATTTTGAGTTTATTAATCTATTTATTAACAATATCATTCCTGGCTGAACTAATGACAGGATATACTCCACCTTAATTTGTGAAAAACTTCATTTCTTGCTGGGAGCGTTGTTCATTTTTTCTTAATTCTGTCTTCAATGTGATTTTCAACTTAAAGAATAATCATCTAATTATCTTAAAAACTTGAGGTACAAGTCCCATACCTTCACCTAAGATGAGGACGAAATCATTCAGAAAGTGGTAAATCTCAAACTTTTACGCATATCACTTAAATTTTATGGACAAATTAAAACAAATCTTACCTCTTTGTAGAGGCTTACAATCCTCTCAGTCACATGCTTCACACATACTGTACAATATTGAGAAGCGTTAATATTGTACAAAATGTGAAAAGTTGGCAACGTTATACAAATCGAATCTGAAGAATTTTTATCACGTTTCTTATTTTTTTTTTTAAATGAAACACTGTTATATTATTGAAACATACATTTATCGTTTAATTATAAAGTTATTTTGAAAACGGTCGTTTTAAAGCGATAAAACGTCCGTAATGTAGAGTCCTCGAAGTGAAAATCTCCACTTATTAGATAGAGGTCACGTGGTACGGAAAAGTCATAGATGTCAATGGTCAATTATATCGTAAGAATTTATATATCGGATAGATTAATATTCTTACGTTAAAATAAATATATTACTCAATATAGTCTGCAGAAATTTTGACATCGACGATATTCCTATTACTATTGACTGTCAATCTTTTATGTATGAACGTCTACCAAAGATAAATAACCCGGAAAATATGGCGATAAGGGGAGAGGACATCGAAGACGAAGCCTTTGACAATTCCAGACTGATTGAATAGAAGTGAACGAATGACCTGGTATATCTTCTATCATCTGTTCCAGCAGTGATTATCATACACTAGAAATCCTTCCTCAATGGCGCCATATGTCATTACGAATTTCACAACATTCCTACTAGATCATACGCATGCGACTTATAAAATACATACTGGTAATTTTTCTTTTTCGGAAAGTACCATTTCCTTTATTGGAGACAAGCCCTCGCAGTGACCAAGTCCAGGGCCCTGCACAAAAAACCTTCCTAAAACCTTTCCTGTGCACATTTATGCATCCAAACGCCACAAATTATACCTTACTAACTGTAAATTATCCAATTATCACTTCTTTAGTTTCTTTCAGGTTTAATAGACCCAATAAATGAGCCGTTTTGTAAACACGATAAGTACTTTGCTTCACTAGAATTGACTCCTGTGACATCAGAGGAATGTCGCGAAACATTGGCGATCAAAATATTCATTTTGAGAAATTCAATTCTTTAATCGCTGAAACATCCAAAATATTCCTTTTCTAGCAAAGAATTTTAAATGGATGGTTTTAATAGCACTAACACTTTGTCATATGAAAAAAAAGAGACGTGATAAAAATCCTTTAATGAAACCGTCATTGAAATCAACTCCCATCAGTTCTTTCAGTACTTTGATTTTTTTTTTTCTTTATAAGCTTTTCATTTAGATGTTCAGTGAAATAATTTAAATTGTGCATGTTTTTAATGTCCCTCAGAAAAAGGAAAAAAAAAAATTAAAATCACCGCTTAATGTGCAGTAACGTTTTTTTTCTACTTCCAACATGAATGAAGTATTATTATTCAACAGGTGATAGCATGATAAACACTGAATACCCTAACAACGCTATGCCTAGGATGTACTTTAGCACAGCAGACAGAGATTACGATAAAACGGGAGGTAACTGTGCTCTTAGCTGGGGAGGAGGCTGGTGGTTTAATGCCTGCAGCGACGCCTTTCTTAACGGGCCATGGGCTCCAGAAAGGTGGCGCAATCCCTGGTATCCTACAGTTAGCTATGGAGGGATTGTGGGAAAGACGCTGATGATGATTAAACGTCACTAAGTAAACATCTTTAACTCTTCATACACAATTGGAGCACACGGCGGGTGAGACCGTTTGGCAGGGGATTCTCACTCCTCCATGACATCTGATCCCACCTCTGATGTTTTAGAAATCAGTGTTTGTTCCGCTTCTGGTTTTTATTCTTTGAATGGACCTCTGAAATTGAATACTGTTCATTATCTCCACACATTTCATTATTTTGATTAATATTATGAACAAGATAAACAGATATGACTTTTGTCACACGGTCGAACATCATTATTTCGAACTTAAGGTATAACTTTGAAATATCCGAGAATTGGAGATAACGAGGGAAACAAGAAAAAAGTTGTTGGGATTGCCAACTCACGTTGACGTATCCCCGGTATTCGCGGTATCGGTGCTTGAGATAACGAAATTCAACTGTTTGTTCGGATGTGTTGGGTTTTAGTACAATTTCTTATTTTCATATCTTACGTATTATGAGTATTATCATTTATTCTAAGCAGAAGAGGAATAACAAAGAAAGGCCACGAATTGGATTCAATTGGACTTTTTCAAATACAACATATATTGATAAAAAATGATGAAAACAGTGACACTTTTCCATGTGCTTTATTTACTCCGTTTCCTTTTTTTTATCTAACTTTGAATAAGTATTAAAATGAAATAGGAACATTGTTTATATGTATAGGGTACTTTTGTTAGATTCAGTAGTTAAAGGAATATCCAGGATTAATTATTATTAATATTCTACATGAATAATGAATGTACTCCGTAAAAGATGAATGTGTTGTAAATAAAAAGGTGACTTTAAGAAAGAAAATATTCATTTGCAATAACTCTATTATGTAAATTTATTCCAAACTGCGTTTTCTTTGCTAATTGCAAAATTTCTAGAAGTTCCTTCGAGTTTTTAAGTATTCACTTTCGATTAAAACTACTTCTTGAATATGTTGTACTGGACTTCTAAAGTTTCTCTTGTTGCTAATACTTTGTTAAGAAAAAGGAATGGTTAAACATTTGCCTTCATTTACGATTTTATTAAGAGAGTGTTTGTTAAAAGTTTTTACATTCTCAATAAAAGACTGACTTTTATGAGCAACAGCTTTTGCATTTTGTGATAAATGTTGTAATACAAATTGTGTTGCGTTAAACGTAAGAGGTAATTTCGCGAAATATAACAATCAGGTTTATTGCCACACATGTTTGATATTTTCCTTAAAGTAAATATAAATCTTCTCTCTCGAGGAAATTCGTTGTGCCTCAGATAAACCTATTAATCCTTAGATGTTTTACATGGCATATGTGCAATCTTCAGATTCCCAGTTTTACTATAAAAACAAGTTAGTACAAAAAGTAATTGAGAGGATATGAAGTTTCTAGATGAGACATATATGAAGAATATTTTTCAAATCCGATGCTGTCTATTTTCAAATTTTCTGCCATAAACTGTAAATTTTGTAAATTACTGAAAACATGCTGTTTTTACTAGTAATCTTAAAGCTTCTATATCAAAACTTCAAATCTATTGATGTTGTATACAGAATAGATGTACCTTGGGCGTATTCAGGTTAATGAAATCAAGGGTTTTCTTTATACATGTACATATAAAAGAATATCAGGGCATACGTAAGGTTATCAAAAAGTTCGTGGACCGATGCGATAAAATCAATACTATGTAGTAGATGATTTTTAATTTTATAAGGAACATAAAACACCAAAAGTTTAAGAAGTCATCATTGTTTCTCAATGTCCGCTCCCTCTGCCTCAATACACTAATTTTGATAAAATTTCCTAGAGTTAAGTAAAAACCTAAGCCTTTCTTGTTTATATGATTTTACAATGCCATGAACAGCTGATATCAATTCATTAATATTTTTAACGGATCCATGCAATGGAAAAGATCCTCTTTTGATTATGCCAGCATAGTTTGCTTTTCGGAAATCAATGTCTACCAAACATGATCAACGTCACTTTTCGACGTGACTGACTTAGGATACCGTGACAAGAAGTCGACTTTATCTGTTCGTCTCTTCTTTCAATGAAATTGTTTTGGAATTTAAAAACAAGTTCTATGGTTGCATTTTATTTCTCTACAACCCGTTTAAACATTTTCGTGGTCTATGCTAGTTTATTTGGGGGCAAAAACTTTATAGAATGCTGGAAAATGATATCCTCCCATTTTTGACACCATTTCTAACCACTTAGATGTTTGGACATTCCATAGAAAATTTACGATAAAATTTCATGGAACTTACAGAATGAGATAAAAATTAAAACGTTTACGGAACAAATGTAGCAAATCACATGAGTAAATTAACGGTAATTTTGTATGACAAATATTTATATCAAAAGAGGTTTTTTTTTTCTCACTTACACTCACGTAAATTAAGACGTCATGTTCAAGGTTGCGTCGCCTGGGTATACCAATGCTTACTAAAACATTAATAATAATTCATTAAAGAATAAACCTAATGATTTATAGTTTTTTTATAGATAGAAAAGATGATGCTTGTTAAATATTTTCCGATAATCCCTCGTATATTTCAAATTAATAACAGAGCTAGCATCTTCTCTACAAGAATCCTTATTTACCTGTTAATTCTATTTTGCCAATAAAAGTTTTATTATCATACTAAAAGTCAACTATTGAGCGCACCTTTGCGTAGACAACGAGAAGAATACTAGAAACTAGGCACGGCCTTTCCACATAGTAGCAAGGAGAATGTCTTTCGAGTCAACAGTGTAGCTATGTGAAAATATGGGATTTTTTAACAATACACAGAGTCGTGAATGTGGTTATGTATTATACACTATATCCCTTTTGATTCACTGCTACCATTGGTATATACAGTTCAACCGGAAGAATTGCAGTTGAAAAGTACAATTAGAGGAATACTCAATTACCTAGGATTGTTTCTTTATTAGGCAATTCTAGCAAATAATGCTATTTAAGTATCTATTTCTGGAGTTTAAAGGCTTGGAATTTCTATATTTTCCATTAAAAAAACTCTCTAAGGTACAATTAGGACACTCAGATGGAAACAGTCTGTCAATGACCTAATTCTTCCTACTTTTTCAAGCAATAGGGGTGTCTTTAAAATACAACGTATGTCATTTTTGATCTTATATGTATGAAGATTACTTGCTCATAAGTATTTTATGCTTAATGAGCAATAGATGTTTACAACAAATGTAATAATTCTCTTTCATTTAACTTCTAAGCAATAGGGAAGTTGTTAAAATATGTCATTTTGGATCTTATATGTATGAAGATTAATTGGTTATAAGTAATTTTTTTATGCTTGATGAGCAATAGATGTTTAGATCAAACGTATTAATTATCTTTCACAAAACTTCTAAGCAATAGATGTCATTAAAATTTGTCATTTTTGATCTTATATGAATGAATAGTAATTGCTCATAAGTAAACTTTCTATGCTTGATGAGCAATAGATGATTAAACCAAACATATTGATTCTCTTTCACAAAACTTGTAAGCAAGAGGGATGTCGTTTAAATATGCTATTTTGGATCTTTTATGTATAAAGATTGATTGCTCATAGGAAATATTTTATGCTTGATGCACAATAGATGTTTACATCAAACGTATTTACTATCTTTCACAAAGCTTCTAAACACCAATGTATGAAGATTAATTGCTCATAGGAAATATTTTATGCTTGATGCACAATAGATAATAAACGTATTCATTATCTTTCAGAAAATTTCTAAACATCAAAGTGATTATAGTTAGATATTTAGCAAAATCCAATTTATATTTTATTCTTTCTACACACATTTGTTTTTTTTTTTTTTTTTCTTTTTTTTTTTTTTTTTTTTTTTGTTTGTTTGTTTGTTTGTTTGTTTTTTGTTTTTTTTCCTTTTGTTTTGTTTATTATTATTATTATTATTATTATTATTATTTACAATATCATAACGTTGTCTGACCTTCGCAGTACAGTTAAGGTGCCAAATGGAAATATTGGCGAATTTTTTAGATAGAAAATACATTCTTTACAAGGATGGGCGTTTCTAATCAGGACTTTATTATTCTCGGACAAATGCAATGTGGTTAAAAACTACATATTGAAGACGATTAAATTTCTTACTTAGACTTGTCACGTGATGTGGTAGTCACGTGATTTAGCAAATATACCTGAAGCATTTAGGTGATCTATAAATTCTAATATTGCAAGGGCATAACCAAGTTAAAAATCTAAGTTTAACATATAATTATTTTCAACACTCTTTGTAGTTTGTGAAAAGTGCTGCGAACCTATATAGATTCTACTATCTAATTGCTAAAATTACATTTGTTAGACAGTATGTTTGATATTTTGCTGGTCAAGTACATTAAATATAGATATAATTAATTCATATGCAAGATTTCAGCAGGTTCGCAGCACTTTTCAAATATCTTCATACTTCTTGAGTTTATGTTTAAAAGCTTGTCATAATTCATTGAGGTTATGCCCTTGCAATATATCGATTTATTACGACCCTTCTATTACCCTTCAAGGAATCTGCATACAAATATACGACAGTATCGCTTATCTAGGGAATGTTCGGGAAGTATATGAATAAAATCATAAAATAGACATCGCATCCAAGTTAATGGCCTTTTATATATCTACAATTTATATTTTATTTAATTACAAAATACATTTTTCATTGTATAAATATAATTTGATCCGCCTCTCACTGCATACAAACTGCGTCAAATTTTACGATATGACGTAACATTGACAAGTGCATTGCGATCAGTGAATTGTTTATATATTGCTGTGTGGGATTTAACCAACGACAATAATGCATGCATTAGTTAGTGTTGATGTAGTTTAAAGCTATTCAATTGCTTAAAATAACAAATCATTTCATTTTATGGTAATTTGAGAACTTATATTTTTGTGTGATGTCATAGTAAGCCTTTCCCGTATTAATTAGGCCCCGCCTCCTTACTGCAGCCTTAACTGTGCTGCTTCTTTAATTCAAAATTTATAAAAACTAATTGCGCT